AGTAACGTTAGCTTGGGCTATGACCTTATCAACTTTAGTTTCGATCTTCTGCAGGACTTGGTTCTATGCCTTGGCGTTTTGGGTCTGCCAATTCAGAACTTCTTCTGCTTACGTTGAAGCTTTGGTTCTTCCGTCTGGTTGTATCTCTATAAGCTGAACATCAAGGGGTTCTTCAATTATGGGGGGTGATTCCCGTGTGGGTTCTCCCATCTCCGTCTGTGTCTGTTGATCATTGGATCCTGTAGAGGTAGTCATTAGCAGTTGTGTGATGTCCATGGTATCGTCTGCTTCTTCAGACTTATTGGAATCTGTTTCTGTTTCAGGTGAACTTTTTGAAGACTCTGATGGTTCTGAGTCTGATTCAGAGGCTGAGGTTGATTTAGAAAACATTGCTGATTCTGGGGCTGTTTCTTCCTTTGAAGGGAAAACCATGTAGGCAGGAGGGTACTCCTGTCTTTTCTCTTTTTCACATGTTGCTGGTTTAGGCTTTTGTGAAACAGGTTCATCTTCTTCTTCTGAGGAAAGACTCATCAGAATGGATGTCTATTGTCAAGCAAGAAGCCTTTAAATCCTTCCCACAGGATTGAAGTACAAAAGACAGTTCAGACCCTACTCCACCATTCCAAAGATGTTTTCCATCAAGGAAGCTCCAACAAAATATGAAGACATGAAAAATAAACTTCTGAAGTGCTGTGCTGACAGCCATGATCAATTTCACCATCCTAGCCCACTATGGAAAAACCAGAAGTTCTTCATACAGCTTCCCTTCAAGAAAAATGAGGACGTCAACCCAACAAAGGCCACTCATCCAGGAATGACCCCATTAGACTTAGCCTTGGCCCGTGAAGAATGTGCTCAACTCCTCAAACAAGGATTGATTGAGCCCACCAAGTCAAATTGGGCTTGCCAGGCTTTCTATGTGAAAAAAAAAATGAACAGGTCTGAGGAAATAAAAGGCTTGTCATTGATTACAAGCCTCTGAACCTGTTCCTGAAGGATGACAAATTCCCCATTCCCAGGACTAGCTCTCTGTTCACCCACTTGAGAGAAGCCCAAGTCTTCTCTAAGTTTGATCTCAAAGGAGCTTTTTGGCAATTGGGAATTGTCCCGGAAGACAGGCCCAAGACAGCCTTTTGTATTCCAGATGCACAGTACCAATGGGGTGTTCTGCCATTTGGCCTTAAGACGGCCCCGTCACTGTTCCAACGAACGATGGCCCAAATCTTTGAGCCCATTTTCTACAGTGCCTTAGTCTACATGTACGATATCCTTCTGTTCTCAAAGGATGAAGAAGCCCACAAGGTCCGACTGGCCCAATTTTATCAAATTGTCGATAAGCATGGAATCATGCTTTCAGAAAAGAAGAGCCAAATAGGACAAAGCCAGATCGAATTCCTAGAGATGCAAATATCCCAAGAAAAGTTTCAACCGGGCCCACACATTGCTCGAGAATTATTGACGTTTCCAGATAAGAACCTCTCTGTAAAGCAGATTCAACAGTTTTTAGGGATAGTCAATTATCTCAGAGATTTCATCCCATGCGTGACTGAACACACTGGCCAGCTGTCAAAAATGTTGAAAAAGAATCATTCTCAGTGGGGAACAGAACAGACAGACGCTGTCAGTGCTTTTAAAAAGATAGCACAGTCACCATCACATCTGAAGATTCCAAACACAGGAAAAAGAATCGTACAGACAGAAGCAAGTGATCACTACTGGAGGGCCATCCTCATCGAAGAAGAAGACGACAAGAGGTACTATTGTGGTCATGCCAGTGGCCAATTCAAAGAATCAGAAAAGCACTATCCCACCATCTACAAGGAGATTCTTGTGGTAAAATACAGAATTCAGAAGTTTGATTTCCATTTTAGAGGTTTTAATTTTGAGGTCTAGATGGATAATTCATCATTTCCCAAAGTCCTTGATTTCAAAAATAAAACCCTCCCTGATCCACAATTACTTAGACTTAAGAGCTGGTTTGAAAGATATGACTTTTATGTCAAACATATAAAAGGCCACCACAACCTCATCCCTTACTTCTTAACTTGATCAAAACCAGTCCAGGTAATCACTCCTTGTAAAACCTTCCCTCTCATCTATGTGAATACCAATATCCACACACCACTGTGTTTTTCGGTTAAACCAGACCACCATTTTCCCCTAGGACTAGACAGTACTGCCTCCCCTGAATAGATTAAACACTATGCTTGAATCCACCCCTTTGACCATTTATCCAGAATCTATAAAGACAACCCATAGGAGTTCTTGTACAACCCATATCAACCGTACCTCGCAATCTTCCACCTTTGCCCTTTTGTCGAGGTTACGCAAGATGATATTTGGTACCTATGGTGCCAGATAACTCTCTATAGGATTGCATTAAACTGTCCACTGATG